ACTGTATGTGATATGGGCTGGGGGTCCTTCCGAGGTGGGTAAAATGAGGACCCGGATTGTTGTTGGGGGCAATATGCTGACTCTGTAAACCACTTAGAGAGGGCTGAAAGCCCTATGAAGCGGTATATAAGTCTAACTGCTATTGCTATTGCTATCCGAAGTAAGAGCCTCGGTGGCGCAGTGGTTAGAGTGCAATACTACAGGCTACTTCTGCTGACTGCCGGCTGCCTGCAATTTGGCAGTTCAAATCTCACCAGGCTCAAGATTGACCCAGCTTTCCATCCATCCGAGAATAGGGAAATTTCCTCAAGTTGCCTCATGCTATTGATTAATTCTCAAAAAAGTTGATTTCCAAAGACAAACCTGCGTGGACCGAACACATTTAGAGGACTTTCAAGTCGCCGACAGCTGTAAATTCTTATGCTTGTTTGTATCCTCCGAAAAGGGGTTTTGCTAGGTCAACCACTGGGATGAAGGGTCCACAAAAGAGCTGTGGTAGCGCAGGGGTTAGAATGCAGTACTGCAGCTAATTCTGCCGAATGCCAGCAGTTCGATCCTGACCGGCTCTGGGTTGACTCAGCCTTCCATCCTTCTGAGGTCGGTAAAATGAGGACCCAGATTGTTGGGGGCAATAGGCTGACTCTGTAAACCGCTTAGAGAGGGCTGTAAAAGCACAATGAAGCAGTATATAAGTCTAAGTGCTATTGCTATTGCTATTGCTATCCATACTCCCAATAACAATCTATCTGTTTAGGGAATCATACTTTGCCTGGAAGGACCCCCAGCCCATATCACATACAGTAGATGGTCTTTAGACAGGAAGAACATCCTTGGGCTTTATTTTAATAGAGGGAGGGGGCTTGCTTCTTGCTTATCTCATTGGTCAAGTGGTCTGTGGTTGTTCTTGTCTTGGAACATGTATGAGCGTTATCTCAAGGCAGAGGAGAGTGCAAATCTTCTATGCTAGCTGGCAGTAGGTTAGAACAATATCTTGCCTAAAAGTCATAATTCACAATGGCTTCTCTCTTCTCTGCAGATACATTTCTGGGAGATTTCCTCCTGACGTACAGTGTGTTCATGCCGACACCTCAGCTGTGCCGAACTTTGCTCCAACAATATCCTTCCTGGTTGCTTCTGCCTTGGATCTTAGAGGGATAGTCAGCAAAAGGCTTTCTTTGGAGTGAGATTGCCCTGGGTTGATTTAGCAAAGAGCGTTATAACTCCCTCCATGCATCCTAGATTGTTGCAGTGCAACGGAGGGAAGGGATGGCACTTCTGGAGGGCCAAATGGAAAACATGGCTTCCAGGCCTGACACTGTTAAGATCTTACCTTCATGCCAGGACAATGCTCCTCAACTAAATGCCTACCAAATATATTAAATTACAAACCCCCATTGTTCTCCGTCTGTTGGAGTTCTAAAAGCCACGCCAGGCATATTATAACAAAATAGAGGATCTCTCCAGCAACATCATGTTGATCCTCTTTCATATAATGTGTCTGAGACCCCAGCAGGAGAATTCTTTATATCATGTGTATAAACACAGAGATGTATAGACTTCCAATATATTTGGGCACACCGGGTGTTGTAACTCTAAATAGATACCTTTCACCCAGGCTCAGCTGATAAGGAGTCGAACTCTGTGGCTTAGTTGTTAACACATCTGCCTAAGATGCAATACAGCACAAGTTCCAATTCCAGCAAGGGTATGGCTAGCTGATGAGAGCTAAATAGCTTGAAATAGATCTATACTAGTCTCCCTTTATTTGCTTATCAGCACAAATACACACACACACACACACACACATATATATATATATATGTGTGTGTGTGTGT